GCTCGCTTGATCTTAACCTCACCAATTTTACAAGGTATTTAAAACATACATTGGTCTTTATATTTCGGTGGAAGCGGTCGTTGGAAAACTGCTGAGACGTTCGTGCCTAAATCCACTTTCTCGACCCCGGTAAGCTTCCTTTTAGTCGTACAGAGATCCTTCAAAAACCGACAATACCTTGGAACTTTCCGGATAACTTCGAGGAGAGGTATGTTAACTTCCACCTTCCGAAGTACGTATAATATTTCATTTTCTTCAGCTTTTTTTATCCTTTTTAGCTAACCTTGATGGAAAAGGTGGTGACACGTCGTAGGGAGATGGCTTCGGATCGTCCAATTGTTCTTCATCGTTCTCTTTCTGAGATCCTGCGTCAACTGCTTCTTCTTCCCTTTGGGAGTTCAAAGTGTCTTCTTTCTTCTGGGATCTTGCGCTCACTTCCTTTGGGTCTGGTTGTTCAACAATTGTACCGCTTCAGAGGGTAATGGCGCTAACATTCTCTATTGGATTCGGCTCAGTGTGGGATGGTAACCTCTTTTGTGACTCTAATCTCCCAACGGTTTGAGCCAGTTGGCTCAATTGCTTGTCCATCTCTTGGAAGTGGGCTTCAGTTCGGGTCTGGAATTTCTCTTGGGATAGTGCTAACCTTTCGACAATCGATTCTAGTGATGTCTTCTGCGACTGTTGTTGTGGTGAAGGTCTCTCTTGATAGCCTTGATTCGGTCTCGGGTTCTGCGCATAACTGAAGTTCGGATGATCCCTCCATCCTGGGTTGTATGTATTACCGTAAGGATTATAAGCTTTTTGGGGAGGTCCCGAGAAGTTTCCGACTACATTGACTTGAGCTGTTGCATCGTCTTGAATCAGTGGACAACCGTCTGTTGGATGATCAAGTAGTGCACATATTCCACATAATCGATTTTTTCATGTCTTTCCTGCAACAAGAGAGTTTACGACTTCAGTTAACTTGTCAATTTTATTTTCCAAGGAATATGAACTTATCTCATGAACCCTTCGAAAAGGTTCATTATTTGCGCGGAACTGTTGGGAATTTGTAGACATCGTCGATATTAAGTTTCTTGCTTCAGTAGGAGTCATATTCACCAAGGCTCCACCGCTGGCTGCATCGATCATCTTCATTTCCAGGGGAGATAGTCCTTCGTAAAAGTATTGAAGGAGTGTTTGTTCGGATAACCCATGTTGTGGGCAACTAGAACATAATTTCTTAAACCGCTCCCAGTAGTCGTAGAGCGACTCTCCATCAAGTTGCTTGATTCCAAGTATTCTCCTTCGTAATTCACTTACTTTTGCCGCAGGGAAAAACCTGTCAAGAAAACAACGAGTCATTTGAGCCCATGTAGTAATAGAATTAGGAGGAATATAAAATAACCACTCCTTAGCTAAATCGGCTAAAGAAAAAGGAAAAGCTCTAAGTTTGATTTGATCCTCGGTTACTCCCTGTGGTGTCATGCTAGAGCAGACCATGTGAAATTCCTTGAGATGTTTGTGTGGATCCTCGTTTGGCAATCCGTGGAATGTAGGGAGGAGATGAATAAGACCGGTTTTCAACTGGTATGGAGTTTCGCCTTGGGGAAAATTAATGCACATAGGTCCTTGTTCAGTGGGTGCCGCGGCTAACTCCTGAATAGTAGGTTCGACCATCGGATTTGTATTACCTGAATTTGATCTTTCTTCTGGATCTAATTGTTGTCTCCTTCTTTCCCGAAGTGTCTGTGCGTGGAGTCTCCTAGCTTCAGCTTCGATCTCCGGGTTGTACTCCACTAATGTGTCCGGATTAGTCCTGGTCATAAATAAAAAAAACAAAAATTAGTAACTTTGGCGAAGTCCCCGGCAACGGCGCCAATTTGACAACTGTCGTTTCGGATGTCAAAATAATTCCTTATTCTCAATCAATAAATTAAGGAAATGCGTAGCAAGGAGAAGGGTCGATTCCACAGGGACTTAGAAAATTATAAATTTCTGTCTGAATTATTTATGCCAGGCGTGAAACAGTAAAAATGGGGGGATTTTAGTAAAAGATAATAAAGTGATTAAATAAAAGTAATTAAAGTAAAAATAAGAAGATGAAGATTGTGAATAAATATGGTAAAAGTAGCCTCAAGCTTCGCTTTGATTCAATTTCCTTTAGATCATCGAATAAGATTTTCTCTTCGGGATTCACGTCGGTTACTTTGTCTACAAGGGCTATCTTTGTGACTCTATCTTGTATACCGAATACCCAAGGAAATCTTTGATTCCGGCTTCGGTAGTTGATTCTAACAACATCTATTGTCGTAGATCAAATATCGTTTAAGTTCGTGGCGACCGACTCGGATTGTTGTTTCTATAACCGTCAATTCCGATCTCAATTCCCTCTTGGCGAAGCTATCTCGCCAAGTGTGTTCCCAGGAAGTCGAATTGCTTTCTATAAGTCGAATCTTCCTCCCACACGTTTAATTGCAACAACCTCTTGACCAAAGTCAATCTTTGATTTTGAAAACTGTTTTGATTTTGAAAAAATAAGCGCAGAGATTGAGAGAGAGATTCCGAAGATATTAAGGGACCGTTTCAATTCTCCCGTTGGAATTGAATCATCGCGACAGCTCTCGGCTTATGAAAAGTTTAGCTAAGCATGACAAAAGTCATACTTAGCATAAAAATAAAACTTGAAAATAAAGAAAAATAAAAAGAACTTGAAAAGGAAAAGAGAAAACTTTTATAAAAACTAGAGAGAAAAGAAGAATGTATTCTGAATGATGAGTTTAGGCTTACCCCAAGTGGGTATTTATAGCCTCTCAAAGCCTAAAGGATAAACAAAGAAAATAATAAAATAATACAAAAGATAATTGTTTTTAAATTTAAATTCAAACTTAAACTAGTCTCCTAATGCAACTCTGCTCATCAATCTTCCAGAAGGCGTGCAGACGAAGTCTCCTAGAAACCGCCGCTGACTGGACCTTCTAGAAACTGCCACGTCAGACCGCGTCGTGCCCAGGGTCGTGCCCATGTCTCCAGCCGTGACCAAATAATAATAAAAAAATACAGAATTCACACGTTTTGTCACAAATTCTGGAAAACAATGACCTGTACGAAAACAAGCACAAAACGACCAAATCAACAGTAATAAATCCACAAAACCGAAGAAATAACGAGCAAATATTAAATATTATGAACACTCATCATGGACGCGATGTTGCCATACGGATTGTTTGTCGACCCACCTCGGTACATATCGTAAGGAGTTGCGGATGAATGTCTCCCAATTATGGCATTAAAATCATTACACATTACTGTCGTTGAGCTGTCAACTTGATCAACTTGTTCAACCAGTCCATAGTGGGAGCTTAATGATTGACCCCGAACAACACGCACTTGAATAAAATTTGCATACATCTCAATATCGGCGTCTGAATAATTACTTTGAGCTTCAACCATTATTTCAACATTATCATTGTTCAAAAGTTCGAACACTGTATAAGTTAATGGCAACAATGATGTTGGAAATCTGTACTGCAACGACGACATTCTTCTACTACTTGCAACATGAATCTTCCTTGAAATCTTCGTTATCAGCTCCTCAAGAGTTATGTTTCTCTTCAATGATATTTTAACACGCTCATTTGATACGAAAACAATGTCGGTTTCATCTTTTCGAATTTCTCCATCATAATAAACAAGAGCTTAAAGTCGCGTCATTCTTTGAGTTTAAAAGTGTGGCAATATTATATCTACAAAAAAACAACTGAAACAATGCTGATTAAATAAATAATATATGAACGAAAATATAACACAATAAAATTTTTACACATAAACGTAAATAATTTAAATAATATAATTTTATATTATTACATGTACCGTAAAACTATTTCGACGTATATTTATGCTTTCTAATTTTACAAACACATAAATTAATTGACAACAATTAGTATAATATTTTTCAAATAATCATAATAAACAATAAGTATAATAAAAAAATTTATCACAAAATTACCTTATAACGAAAACTCGCACGAACTTCTGAATTAAATATGAGAAGATTGTTGGATTGTTGTATTAATTTTTTTCTAATCGAGAGGAAATGTGAGGAGTTATCCCGGGGAAAGGATATTTATAGCCGGGAAAAGCTACAAGATGCAGTACTTGCACCGTGCCTTACATAATTATATCAAATAAAGTTAAGGCGCGACCCCTGTTCTGCGCCTAATAATTGTGCTAAAGGTCAGGCGCGGCCCCTGTCTTGCACTATACTCCTAGGTGGCATAAGGCGTTTCCCGGGGCCGCGCTTTACACACGTGTATACCATGTCAGCATAAGGTGTACTGCAGGGGGCGCCTTACCTCACGTGGTGTCAAATCAGCGTAAAGCGCATTGCAGGAGTCGTGCCTTTCTACAAAGGGTGTTAGATCGAAAAATATAATATGGACGGTGTCTGATCAAGAAATATATTGTTCAACGGTGATATATAAAAAAAAAAATCGCCTGGATTGGACCCGGACAATGAGAAATCTCAACTTTGAGGTCCAGCAACAATGTAAATTTGGGAAGGTCAAATCACATTTACTTTGAATGGAAAGAAATCAGAATCTCCTTAGGAGTATCACTTTCTTTTACTCATTATCTTCTCTGTTTATTTCCTTTGTCTAAAAGTCTGGAAAGCAAAGGCTCTGCTTTATAGTAACGTAACCCATTTGTGTTTCACTTTCAACTTTTCCAACCACTAAGCCCCCTTTAAACCAGAGTCAAATCTTGTGCCAAACCAAAACATTTGAATGAATTTGAGATGAACTGGTCGGTGATCATAATAATAATAATAATTTGCAGAGATTAAGACGTGGCCCGTGATGTTACCAGAAAACCAATAAAAAGGGTATTCAAGTTCCAACCACTCCCAACTATATTTTTCTTCGAATTCCATTTTTTCATTAAAAACCTCTAAAAGACGGCATTCCAATACAAGAAACTGAGCAATGCAAAAAAAGAAACAGCACCTCAACAACAAGATTCTACCTACAATAACCCTCACGTAATAATAGAAGTAAAAAAAACTATATTAATTCACTTCTTAACACAATAATCCTCTCAATATCCAGATTAAGGGAGGGAGGGAAACAAGTACCCATGCCATAATCCCATTCTCGTCATCCTCTTAAAACTATATTAACTTCATCCTATACACGCACATGCACTTTGGCAATGGGAAAAACAACAGCTTCACAACACACAAGCAGGAACCTGCATGCAGCTCGAAAAGAGGCTTAACCCTCTCTTCTGCATCAACAAACAGACAAAGGGTTAGAGACATTGAAATTTTAAATAAAGCTTCGACTTTACTAACTTATATGGAAGAAAGAAGCATACTTTTCTGGCTTTTGCGTAAAGCAGATGTGGGGAAATTTTATAGAGGTCTTCGTCAACCGGTTTGGGTGCTGGCCTGTGGTGGATAGGAGTGGGACTTGGTGGTTCTTTCACGTCATTGATCTCCCAGCTTTGCCTTTTTCCTTTAACATTGGACTGTCGTACTTTTGTCTGCACAATTTTCATTCATCTTTATTACCAAAAATAACACATTTACAGTCATTGAATCAATGCATGCTTATCAATTCACCATCGTCATTGTTTCATCACATTACCATTTTAGTTTAGGGACAAGATTTTCCTTTTCTTCTAAAATTTTTTGGACAACTTAACTCATAATCACTTGGCTATAGAAACAACAAAAAGCTTCTGCCTAAGTCACATGAATGCTCTTAGGTCGTAAACCTTTCATTTATGAGCACGCCAATGTCCTTTTCTCACCCTTCCAGCATTATAATAAGCTTAAACCAATGAACGCAAAGTAAACTCGTTTACATGCAATTTTCTTACTTTTTTTTTACATTTTGACCCCTTTTGCTGTAACAAGGAACCCCTTTTAATGAAACAACTCAATGCTTTTCGAAGAAACCAGTCTTTATCACGCATCAAAACAAATGTATCAAAACAAAGTAAAGCACATGAACAAGTGAAAAAGAAACTACTATGGTTTTTAAGGGTTTTCATTTGAATGTTACCCTTCTGCGAGGAACAACGATCATGGCAGGAGTAACAACATCATTATCATAAAGATCACCAGCAACATATAGATCACGATCCTCGGAGTAGCTGTAACGAAGCAAGCCGGCTTGTCTTGCTGATTCGAAACACTGAGTGAAAGGGAGATCTTTGTTCCAATCCCAGCTGCCAAAAGCTGGAATATGGCTCCTCGTATGGTATTCCTATAACACAAACCTCATCAGCCACAACAACACATGTACAAAACCAAACAAAACATTTAAGTGAAGAGCTTGAAGCATAGATAATCGTAGAGAAAGAAAAGGGTATGCTTTACTTACATCCATATTGTTATTACACAGAGAAAGGGAGGCCTAGTATTAGAATATCTTGGAGATTCTCAAAGAATTCTAGCCAATTTAAAAGGGAGGAAGAGGGGCTATGAAAGAGAAAGAAGGGAATAGGGTAAAGTAGGGTAAGGGGGTATAGAGGGTCCAAAGCAACAAAACTTCTGCTAGGTAAAAGGCAAAGGAACTCACAGTAGCAGACAAAAGGACAAGAGGTAAGGTAAAAAACGGGGTGAAGACCAAAGAGAGAGAGAGACAAGACAGGTAAACCGATATAACTGACACCTTTGACCCTAATATTTCCTATTTAACATCTATTGATTAATATTTCTCGAAGTAACATCCTTTCAATTGAGGTAGTACAAAGGTGCATTCATATAGATACATTTTATCTAGATTTTAGCTGACTGTGATGTCATACGATTAAGCGCTTTCACGGGGTTTTACTGAGTCAGATGTCACGAGGGTAAGACACATCCCCAAAAACATACCTATCATTAAATATCATAAATATCCATCCTTTTTTCCTCAACTACTTCCCTCTTCCTCCCATATATAAACTCCTTCAACCCTCTTCATTATTCACAAAAAAACATCTCTTCTTCTCTTATATAATTCAAATTCTACTTTTATTTGAGTTTTAAATTTTTTATTAGTGGTAATAAATTTTTGTTTAAGTTAGTATTTTTTTAAATAGTTGTTATATTTTTTATTTTTATATTTATATAAATATTATTTTTTAAAATAATATTTATATAATTATTATTTATTTTAAATTTATTAATTAATTATTATTTGTGCTAATTATATTTTTTGTTTACATTTATAATGGAAAGCGAAATGTTATTGCGATTATATACAAACCATATCTCTAGATATTTTAGTGATATGGTAATAATTTTTTTAATTTATGTTAATATTTATTATTATTTTTAATTTAAATTTATCATGAATTTATATTAATTTAAATTTTTTGAATGCTTATTAATTAGGAAAATAATTGTATTTTAGAGACATTTATTAAAAACTCGCGTATACCGACAACCAATACATATTTTGTCATATTTGTCTTCTGCCGTGTTCGAGTATATTGCACATATTATTGGCGGTTGCAAACTCGAACCTGTCCTAATTTCTACATTGATTGAGAGGTGGAGGCCCGAGACACACACATTTCATCTTCCATGTGGAGAGTCTACAATTACATTGGAGGATGTCTTCATGCATCTGGGGCTTCCCATCGACGGAAATATTATGTGTGGTATGGCCGATGGTGATTGGTAGTCTATGTGTATGGAGTATCTTGGAGCTGCTCCGCTAGAGTTTAATGGAGGTAGAATAGTTTTATCATGGCTGAAAGCTAATTTTGAAGTTTTGAATGAAAATGTTTCTGATGATGAAGCAAAGGCATGTGCTCGGGCTTATATTCTACGAATCATTGGAGGAATATTGATGTCCGACAAATCTCGCAACCAGGTGCATTGTATGTGGTTGCGTCATCTGATTGATTTTGATGAAGCTGGAAGATATAGTAGGGGCGCTGCAGTTTTGACATTTCTCTTTAGAGAAATGTGTCGTGCAACGAATTATAAAAAAACTGATACCGGTTGATGTCTCATGCTTCTGCAATCATGGGCGTGGTTCCACATGCCTTTCTTATGCCCGATTATTAATGAGTGATACGTATTCCCCTTATTATTGAGGTAATTTCTGAACTACATTTTGATTTAAATATTTTTAATTAAATAGGGTTATATTTAGTTTATATTATATTTCATAGGTGGTCAATGAAAAGAAAAAATCATAGAGATATCCCTACTGAATTAGAGAAAATCCGTTTACTTATTGATACAAAAGCTGGGTCTGATGTATGTTTTTAAATCTATTTAAATATGAATATTTTAATTTAAAATGCTAGATATAATTAGAATATTATATTTATTTGAATTGTATATTTATATTTCAGTTTCAGTGGATACCTTATGCGAGCGATGAAGTAAAGGCTTGCATCCCACCCCACCTGAGTGGGTAATTAGATGTTTGGATGTCAGTTGTACCTCTTATATGTTATGCGATTATTGAGTGGCATCCGGTTGATTGTGTGCTCCGTCAGTTTTGTTGTACGCAATATATTCCTGCAGCACCTAGGAATTTAGATGACATACATAACATAGACAGACGAGGAAAGAAAGATGTCAACTGGGTGGTGAGACACAGTGATTGGATTGCGATTTGGCAGAATCGGTATGCACAGTTGCCCCCTCGACAATTTTTCGTTGAAACTGATCATATGGTTACGAATAACTATATGGAGTGGTTTAATAAAAACATGAAATTGTTTTTACTTTCGACGGAAGCACGAGGGTTAGCATTAATAGGTGCCGAGATAGATGTCTACCATCTCAATATCATCGTTCTCTGACTCGTAAACGGAGAGAAGGCGCTATCGGTTCATCATCAGTCCCACCACAACATCCATATCCACCGATGATGATGCTACAAGGGTACATGCCCAGCCCTCCAGCTTAGATACCATATCCGCAAGGGTATATGCCAAGCCCACCAGTTCATATGCCATATTCGCAGGGTTACATTCCTAGCCCGCAGGGTTACATTCCTTAGCCCGCCAGGTTACATGCCTAGCCTGCAGGGTTTTATGACACCCTATGGAGGTGCATATACGGCTATGTTTAATGATCCAGCATATGGTTCATATGCTTTTTATTTGGGTGGTGGTGTTTCTCCACGGATACCTCAATCTCCATCTAGATCACAGACATCGATGCCAATGTTTTCACAGTTTTCTCAATTCTCTATGAGTGGTGGGATTGTTAGTAATACTCATTCAGGGTTGTTATTTTATACAGGCCCTTCAGCGTCATCTACGCTAAATGAAGAAAATGTCGATAATGATGATGATAGTGAAGACGAGGAGACTGAAGAACAAGTTCCATGAAGAAATTCTCAGTGAAATAGACAACCACCGACATGTGGAACTCATTCGAGAAGACGACATCGGTGATCCAGTTGTATTTTAATGTTATTTAAATAGTTATATTTTAGAAATTTATGTAATTTTGTTATGTTATTTAAATGTTTAATGGTTGTTACAACAATATTTTTAATGTTTTTTATTCAAATTTAAATTAAATGTTTGTTAAATGTTTTTAAACTACAAATCCAAATTCAACTTAATATTCCAATTAAAATTTAAAAGTGTATTCGAAATTAAAAGTTATATTCCAATTATAGTTCACAGTACTTAAATTGAAATTAAATTACATTGTCTTGTAAAAATTATTTAAAAAATAATTCCACAGTTAATGAGCATCATTATAAAACATATACATTAAAACCCACGTGTTATAATCCCATTAATAAAGGCTCACAGTGGAAAATAATTCGTAAAAACATTTCAATGCTCATTCCATACAATTTCAATGTCACAACCAACTTATCACTTCACGTTTATTCAATTTATCCATAACATTTTATCCAATTTATTCAAACTTCACATAAAGTTTTAATTTAAGTTATGAACTTAAATTTATCCATATGTATGATTTTATCCTTAACTTGCTGAACTTCCAAAAAGAACTTAAATTTAGGTTATAATTTACCCGATTTCACCACTTTGTTGCGTCTCCGGGGACATGACTCACATAATAAGGCAATTATAACATATTCTTTGGCATAACAATCGAAGGCGCGCCCCCAGGAACGCGCTTTCACCACTTTGTTAAGTCACATCAAACATAGTAGGTACTGACATGAATAGTGCCCCCGAGGGACATGAGTGACATAATAGGGCAATGATAACATATTCTCTAACAAAATAATGGAAGGCACGCCCTTGGAAGCGCACTTTCACCACTTTGCCAAGTCCCCTCAAACATAATAGGTACTGACATGAATAGTGCCCCCGAGAGACATGAGTGACATAATAGGGTAATGATAACATATTTTCTGACAAAATAATGAAAGGCGTGCCCCCGGAAATGCGTTTTCACCACTTTGCCAAGTCTCCTCAAACATAATAGGTACTGACATGAATAGTGCCCCCGAGGGACATGAGTGACATAATAGGACAATGATAACATGTTCTCTAACAAAATAATGGAAGACGTGCCCCCAGAAACGCGCTTTCACCACTTTGCCAAGTCCCCTCAAACATAATAGGTACTGATATGAATAGTGCCCCCGAGGGACATGAGTGATATATTAGGGCAATGATAACATATTCTCTGACAAAATAATGGAAGACGCGCCCCCGAGAACGCGTATTCAAGTGAATATTACCCCGGTTATAGACACTATTATATGCAACATATTATAAACTTTCAAAACAAACTTCCCCAAGCTTTCAAATTCTCAAACTCTAAATTTCTCAAAAATCTCAATCCTCTATTCTATGAAAATGAGTCATCTTTCTTCTATTGTTTTATATGATGGAGAAATTAAGGAAGCTGAAGAGGGGGTTGTTTTTGAATCAGATCATTATATCCCCTTAACCTTGAAGAGAAACATCACTCTTGAGGAGTTAATCACAAAAATTCCGTTAAAGATTCATGTAGCAGGCCGGAGAAGACTATCTTCACTTCAGTATAGATTTCCTACTGAACTTTTTCCACTCACATATACATCATTTCAGCTTTCTAACGATGATGATGTTTCTATGATGGTTAATGCTAATATGGGAAGTTCACAATCTCTTATTGAAATGTATGCCACTTTTATTGAGGTTCGTGCTTCTCGTGGTCTCTCATATTCCTCTCACTTTGGAATTGCATATCAAGTTGATCAAGTTGATAGCCCGACGCAACTGATCTGTAATGATTTCACATCATTAATGGCGAATCCAACGCCAGATGCCATGCCATCAAGTTCAATAAGAAG